AGCTGTCATCATCAGCTGTGTCATCATCATCATCAGCTGTTTCATCATCATCATCAGCTGTGTCATCATCAGCTGTGTCATCAATCAGCTGTCATCATCAGCTGTGTCATCATCATCATCAGCTGTGTCATCATCATCATCAGCTGTGTCATCATCATCAGCTGTATCATCATCATCATCATCATCAGCTGTATCATCATCATCTGTATCATCATCATCAGCTGTGTCATCATCATCATCAGCTGTGTCATCATCATCATCAGCTGTGTCATCATCATCATCAGCTGTGTCATCATCATCATCATCAGCTGTGTCATCATCACCTGTGTCATCATCATCGTCATCATCAGCTGTGTCATCATCATCATCAGCTGTGTCATCATCATCAGCTGTATCATCATCATCAGCTGTGTCATCATCATCATCAGCTGTGTCATCATCATCATCATCAGCTGTGTCATCATCAGCTGTGTCATCATCATCATCGTCATCATCAGCTGTGTCATCGTCATCATCAGCTGTGTCATCATCATCAGCTGTGTCATCATCATCATCAGCTGTATCATCATCATCAGCTGTGTCATCATCAGCTGTGTCATCATCATCATCAGCTGTGTCATCATCAGCTGTGTCATCATCATCATCAGCTGTGTCATCATCATCATCAGCTGTGTCATCATCAGCTGTGTCATCATCATCATCATCATCAGCTGTGTCATCATCAGCTGTGTCATCATCAGCTGTGTCATCAGCTGTGTCATCATCATCATCATCAGCTGTGTCATCATCATCATCAGCTGTGTCACCATCAGCTGTGTCATCATCAGCTGTGTCATCATCATCATCAGCTGTGTCATCATCATCATCAGCTGTGTCATCATCAGCTGTGTCATCATCATCATCATCATCAGCTGTGTCATCATCATCATCAGCTGTGTCATCATCATCATCATCAGCTGTGTCATCATCATCATCATCAGCTGTGTCATCATCACCTGTGTCATCATCATTGTCATCATCAGCTGTATCATCATCATCAGCTGTGTCATCATCATCATCATCAGCTGTATCATCATCATCATCAGCTGTGTCATCATCATCAGCTGTGTCATCATCATCATCATCAGCTGTGTCATCATCAGCTGTGTCATCATCATCATCATCGTCATCATCAGCTGTGTCATCATCATCATCAGCTGTGTCATCATCATCATCAGCTGTGTCATCATCATCATCATCAGCTGTGTCATCATCAGCTGTGTCATCATCATCATCAGCTGTGTCATCATCAGCTGTGTCATCATCATCATCAGCTGTGTCATCATCATCAGCTGTGTCATCATCAGCTCTGTCATCATCATCATCAGCTGTGTCATCATCAGCTGTGTCATCATCAGCTGTGTCATCAGCTGTGTCATCATCATCATCAGCTGTGTCATCATCATCATCAGCTGTGTCATCATCAGCTGTGTCATCATCAGCTGTGTCATCATCATCATCAGCTGTGTCATCATCATCATCATCATCAGCTGTGTCATCATCATCATCAGCTGTGTCATCATCAGCTGTGTCATCATCATCATCAGCTGTGTCATCATCATCGTCAGCTGTGTCATCATCATCATCAGCTGTGTCATCATCATCATCAGCTGTGTCATCATCAGCTGTGTCATCACCATCATCAGCTGTGTCATCATCATCATCAGCTGTGTCATCATCATCATCAGCTGTGTCATCATCATCAGCTGTGTCATCATCATCATCATCAGCTGTGTCATCATCAGCTGTGTCATCATCATCATCAGCTGTGTCATCATCATCATCAGCTGTGGCATCATCATCAGCTGTGTCATCATCAGCTGTGTCATCATCATCATCAGCTGTGTCATCATCATCATCAGCTGTGTCATCATCATCATCAGCTGTGTCATCATCATCATCAGCTGTGTCATCATCATCAGCTGTGTTATCATCAGCTGTGTCATCATCATCATCAGCTGTGTCATCATCATCATCAGCTGTGTCATCATCATCATCATCATCAGCTGTGTCATCATCATCAGCTGTGTCATCATCATCATCAGCTGTGTCATCATCATCAGCTGTGTTATCATCAGCTGTGTCATCATCATCATCAGCTGTGTCATCATCATCATCAGCTGTGTCATCATCATCATCAGCTGTGTCATCAGCTGTGTCATCATCATCAGCTGTGTCATCATCATCATCAGCTGTGTCATCATCATCATCATCAGCTGTGTCATCATCATCATCAGCTGTGTCATCATCATCAGCTGTGTCATCATCATCATCAGCTGTGTCATCATCATCATCAGCTGTGTCATCATCATCATCAGCTGTATCATCATCAGCTGTGTCATCATCAGCTGTGTCATCATCATCAGCTGTGTCATCATCATCATCAGCTGTGTCATCATCATCAGCTGTGTCATCATCATCATCAGCTGTATCATCATCATCAGCTGTGTCATCATCAGCTGTGTCATCATCATCATCATCAGCTGTGTCATCATCATCATCATCAGCTGTGTCATCATCAGCAGCTGTGTCATCATCATCAGCAGTGTCATCATCAGCTGTGTCATCATCATTATCAGCTGTGTCATCATTAGCTGTGTCATCACCATCATCATCAGCTGTGTCATCATCATCAGCTGTGTCATCATCATCATCAGCTGTGTCATCATCATCAGCTGTGTCATCATCATCATCAGCTGTGTCATCATCATCAGCTGTGTCGTCATCATCATCATCAGCTGTATCATCATCATCAGCTGTGTCATCATCATCATCAGCTGTGTCATCATCATCAGCTGTGTCGTCATCATCATCAGCTGTGTCATCATCATCATCAGCTGTGTCATCATCAGCTGTGTCATCATCAGCTGTGTCATCATCGTCATCATCAGCTGTGTCATCATCATCATCAGCTGTGTCATCATCATCATCATCATCATCAGCTGTGTCATCATCATCATCAGCTGTGTCATCATCATCAGCTGTGTCATCATCATCAGCTGTGCTCATCATCATCAGGCTGTGTCAGTCATCATCATCAGCTGTATCATCATCATCAGGATGTGTCATCATCATCAGCTGTGTCCATCATCATCAGCTGTGTCGTCATCATCATCAGCTGTGTCATCATCATCATCATCAAGCTGTGGTCACATCATCAGCCTGTGTCCTCAATCAGCTGTGTCATCATCCTTCATCATCAGCCTGTGTCATCATCAGCATCATCAGCATGTGTCATCATCATCATCAGGCTGTGTCATCATCATCATCAGCTGTGTGTCATCATCATCAGCTTGTCATCATCAGCTGTATACTCATCATCATCATCAAGCTGTGTCATCCATGCATCATCAGCTGTGTCATCATCATCATCAAGCTGTGTCATCATCCATCAGGCTTGATGTCGTCATCATCATCATGCAGCTGTGTCCATCATCAGCTGTGTCATCATCATCATCAGCTTTGTATCATCATCATCAGCATGTGTCATCATCATCGAGCAGTGCCATTCATCATCATCACGCTGTGTCATCCATCCATCATCATCTGCTGTGTCATCATCAGCAGTGTTCATCATCATCATTGTCATCATCATCAGCTGTGTCGTCATCATCATCATCAGCTGTATCATCATCATCAGCAGTGCCATCATCATCATCAGCTGTGTCATCATCATCATCATCTGCTGTGTCATCATCAGCAGTGTCATCATCATCAGTGTCATCATCATCAGCTGTGTCGTCATCATCATCATCAGCTGTGTCATCATCAGCTGTGTCATCATCATCATCATCAGCTGTGTCATCATCATCATCAGCTGTGTCATCATCATCATCAGCTGTATCATCATCATCAGCTGTGTCATCATCAGCTGTGTCATCATCATCATCATCAGCTGTGTCATCATCATCATCAGCTGTGTCATCATCATCATCATCATCAGCTGTGTCATCATCATCAGCTGTGTCATCATCATCATCAGCTGTGTCATCATCATCATCATCAGCTGTGTCATCATCATCATCAGCTGTGTCATCGTCATCATCATCAGCTGTGTCATCATCATCATCAGCTGTGTCATCATCATCATCATCAGCTGTGTCATCATCATCATCATCAGCTGTGTCATCATCATCAGCTGTGTCATCATCATCATCAGCTGTGTCATCATCATCAGCTGTGTCATCATCATCATCAGCTGTGTCATCATCATCAGCTGTGTCATCATCATCATCAGCTGTGTCATCGTCATCATCATCAGCTGTGTCATCATCATCATCAGCTGTGTCATCATCATCATCATCATCAGCTGTGTCATCATCATCATCATCATCAGCTGTGTCATCATCATCAGCTGTGTCATCATCAACATCAGCTGTGTCATCATTATCATCATCATCAGCTGTGTCATCATCATCAGCTGTGTCATCATCATCATCATCATCAGCTGTGTCATCATCATCATCATCAGCTGTATCATCATCATCAGCTGTGTCATCATCATCATCATCATCAGCTGTGTCATCATCATCATCAGCTGTGTCATCATCATCATCATCAGCTGTATCATCATCATCAGCTGTGTCATCATCATCATCATCATCAGCTGTGTCATCATCATCAGCTGTATCATCATCATCAGCTGTGTCATCATCAGCTGTGTCATCATCATCACCATCAGCTGTGTCATCATCATCATCATCATCAGCTGTGTCATCATCATCATCAGCTGTGTCATCATCATCATCATCAGCTGTGTCATCATCATCATCAGCTGTGTCATCATCATCATCATCAGCTGTGTCATCATCATCATCATCAGCTGTGTCATCATCATCATCATCAGCTGTGTCATCATCATCATCATCAGCTGTGCCATCATCATCATCAGCTGTGTCATCATCATCATCAGCTGTGTCATCATCATCATCATCAGCTGTCGTCATCTCTCCCCTCTGTAGAAGCTGAAGGATGCTTCAGCTTCGCTGTCCCCCAAAGTGGCCTCAGTGGCAGCGGCCTTCAACACGGAGAGTGACGTAAGGGTGGACACTCAGGGTGACGTGAGGGTGGACTCAGGGTGACGTGAGGGTGGACTCAGGGTGACGTAAGGGTGGACACTCAGGGTGACGTGAGGGTGGACACTCAGGGTGACGTGAGGGTGGACACTCAGGGTGACGTGAGGGTGGACACTCAGGGTGACGTAAGGGTGGACACTCAGGGTGACGTGAGGGTGGACACTCAGGGTGACGTAAGGGTGGACACTCAGGGTGACGTGAGGGTGGACACTCAGGGTGACGTGAGGGTGGACACTCAGGGTGACGTGAGGGTGGACACTCAGGGTGACGTGAGGGTGGACTCAGGGTGACGTAAGGGTGGACACTCAGGGTGACGTAAGGGTGGACACTCAGGGTGACGTAAGGGTGGACACACAGGGTGACGTAAGGGTGGACACTCAGGGTGACGTGAGGGTGGACTCAGGGTGACGTAAGGGTGGACACTCAGGGTGACGTGAAGGGTGGACACTCAGGGTGACGTGAGGGTGGAACTCAGGGTGACGTAGGGTGGACACTCAGGGTGACGTGAGGGTGGACACTCAGGGTGACGTAAGGGTGGACACTCAGGGTGACGTGAGGGTGGACTCAGGGTGACGTGAGGGTGGACTCAGGGTGACGTAAGGGTGGACACTCAGGGTGACGTGAGGGTGGACACTCAGGGTGACGTGAGGGTGGACTCAGGGTGACGTGAGGGTGGACTCAGGGTGACGTGAGGGTGGACTCAGGGTGACGTAAGGGTGGACACTCAGGGTGACGTAAGGGTGGACACTCAGGGTGACGTAAGGGTGGACCACACAGGGTGACGTAAGGGTGGACACTCAGGGTGACGTGAGGTTGGACTCAGGGTGACGTAAGGGTGGACACTCAGGGTGACGTAAGGGTGGACACTCAGGGTGACGTAAGGGTGGACACTCAGGGTGACGTGAGGGTGGACTCAGGGTGACGTAAGGGTGGACACAGAATGACGAAAGGGTGGACTCAGGGTGACGTAAGGGTGGACACTCAGGGTGACGTAAGGGTGGACTCAGGGTGACGTGAGGGTGGACTCAGGGTGACGTGAGGGTGGACACTCAGGGTGACGTAAGGGTGGACACTCAGGGTGACGTAAGGGTGGACACACAGGGTGACGTAAGGGTGGACACTCAGGGTGACGTAAGGGTGGACTCAGGGTGACGTAAGGGTGGACACTCAGGGTGACGTAAGGGTGGACACTCAGGGTGACGTGAGGGTGGACTCAGGGTGATGTAAGGGTGGACACTCAGGGTGACGTGAGGGTGGACACTCAGGGTGACGTAAGGGTGGACACTCAGGGTGACGTGAGGGTGGACTCAGGGTGACGTGAGGGTGGACACTCAGGGTGACGTAAGGGTGGACACTCAGGGTGACGTGAGGGTGGACACTCAGGGTGACGTGAAGGGTGGACATCAGGGTGACGTGAGGGTGGACTCAGGGTGACGTGAGGGTGGACTCAGGGTGACGTAAGGGTGGACACTCAGGGTGACGTAAGGGTGGACACTCAGGGTGACGTAAGGGTGGACACACAGGGTGACGTAAGGGTGGACACTCAGGGTGACGTGAGGGTGGACTCAGGGTGACGTAAGGGTGGACACTCAGGGTGACGTAAGGGTGGACACTCAGGGTGACGTAAGGGTGGACACTCAGGGTGACGTGAGGGTGGACACTCAGGGTGACGTAAGGGTGGACACAGGAATGACGAAGGGTGGACTCAGGGTGACGTAAGGGTGGACACTCAGGGTGACGTTAGGGTGGACTCAGGGTGACGTAAGGGTGGACACTCAGGGTGACGTAAGGGTGGACACTCAGGGTGACGTAAGGGTGGACTCAGGGTGACGTTAGGGGTGGACTCAGGGTGACGTGAGGGTGGACACAGAGTGACGTAAGGGTGGACACTCAGGGTGACGTAAGGGTGGACACTCAGGGTGACGTAAGGGTGGACACACAGGGTGACGTGAGGGTGGACACTCAGGGTGACGTAAGGGTGGACACACAGGGTGACGTAAGGGTGGACACTCAGGGTGACGTAAGGGTGGACACTCAGGGTGACGTAAGGGTGGACACTCAGGGTGACGTGAGGGTGGACTCAGGGTGACGTAAGGGTGGACACAGAATGACGAAAGGGTGGACTCAGGGTGACGTAAGGGTGGACACTCAGGGTGACGTGAGGGTGGACTCAGGGTGACGTAAGGGTGGACACTCAGGGTGACGTAAGGGTGGACACTCAGGGTGACGTAAGGGTGGACACAGAGTGACGAAAGGGTGGACTCAGGGTGACGTAAGGGTGGACACTCAGGGTGACGTGAGGGTGGACTCAGGGTGACGTAAGGGTGGACACTCAGGGTGACGTAAGGGTGGACACTCAGGGTGACGTGAGGGTGGACTCAGGGTGACGTAAGGGTGGACACACAGAGTGACGAAAGGGTGGACTCAGGGTGACGTAAGGGTGGACACTCAGGGTGACGTAAGGGTGGACTCAGGGTGACGTAAGGGTGGACACTCAGGGTGACGTAAGGGTGGACACTCAGGGTGACGTGAGGGTGGACACAGAGTGACGAAAGGGTGGACTCAGGGTGACGTAGGGTGGACACTCAGGGTGACGTGAGGGTGGACTCAGGGTGACGTAAGGGTGGACACTCAGGGTGACGTAAGGGTGGACACTCAGGGTGACGTAAGGGTGGACACTCAGGGTGACGTGAGGGTGGACACACAGGGTGACGTAAGGGTGGACACTCAGGGTGACGTAAGGATGGACACTCAGGGTGACGTAAGGGTGGACACTCAGGGTGACGTAAGGGTGGACACTCAGGGTGACGTAACTGTGGACACTCAGGGTGACGTAAGGGTGGACACTCAGGGTGACGTTAGGGTGGACACACAGGGTGACGTAAGGGTGGACACTCAGGGTGACGTAAGGGTGGACACTCAAGGTGACGTAAGGGTGGACTCAGGGTGACGTAAGGGTGGACACAGGGTGACGTGATGGTGGACACTCAGGGTGACGTAAGGGTGGACACAGGGTGACGTAAGGGTGGACACACAGAGTGACGTAAGGGTGGACACTCAGGGTGACGTGAGGGTGGACACACAGAGTGACGTGAGGGTGGACACTCAGGGTGACGTGAGGGTGGACTCAGGGTGACGTGAGGGTGGACACACAGGGTGACGTAAGGGTGGTGGACACACAGGGTGACGTAAGGGTGGACACACAGGGTGACGTGAGGGTGGACACACAGGGTGACGTAAGGGTGGACACACACAGTGACGTAAGGGTGGACACAGAGTGACGTAAGGGTGGACACACAGGGTGACGTGAGGGTGGACACACAGGGTGACGTGAGGGTGGACACAGGGTGACGTAAGGGTGGTGGACACTCAGAGTGACGTGAGGGGGTGGTGTCTCTGTGTCTCTGTGTGTGTCTCTATCTCTGTGTGTCTCTGTGTGTCTGTGTCTCTGTGTATCTCTGTGTGTCTTTGTATCTCTGTGTGTCTGTGTCTCTGTGTATCTCTGTGTGTCTTTGTATCTCTGTGTGTCTGTGTCTCTGTGTGTGTCTGTGTATCTCTGTGTGTGTGTGTCTGTATCTCTGTGTGTCTCTGTGTGTCTCTGTGTGTCTCTATCTCTGTGTCTCTGTGTCTCTGTGTGTCTGTGTCTCTGTGTATCTCTGTGTGTCTCTGTATCTCTGTGTGTCTGTGTCTCTGTGTGTGTCTGTGTGTCTCTGTATCTCTGTGTGTCTCTGTATCTCTGTATCTCTGTGTGTGTCTGTATCTCTGTGTGTCTGTGTCTCTGTGTGTGTCTGTATCTCTGTGTGTCTTTGTGTCTCTGTATCTCTGTGTGTCTCTGTCTCTGTATCTCTGTGTGTCTATGTCTCTCTGTGTGTCTCTGTATCTCTGTGTGTCTGTGTCTCTGTGTGTGTCTGTATCTCTGTGTGTCTCTGTATCTCTGTGTGTCTCTGTGTCTCTGTGTGTCTCTATCTCTGTGTGTCTCTGTGTCTGTGTGTCTATGTATCTCTGTGTGTGTCTCTGTATCTCTGTGTGTCTCTGTATCTCTGTGTGTCTCTGTATCTCTTTGTGTCTCTGTATCTCTGTGTGTCTCTGTATCTCTGTGTGTCTCTGTGTCTCTGTGTGTCTGTGTATCTCTGTGTGTGTCTGTATGTCTGTGTATCTCTGTGTGTCTGTGTATCTCTGTGTGTGTCTGTCTCTCTCTCTGTGTCTCTGTATCTCTGTGTGTCTCTGTATCTCTGTGTGTCTGTGTATCTCTGTGTGTGTGTCTCTGTATCTCTGTGTGTCTGTGTGTGTCTCTGTATCTCTGTGTGTGTCTCTGTATCTATGTGTATCTCTGTGTGTGTGTCTGTATCTCTGTGTGTCTGTGTGTGTCTCTGTATCTCTGTGTCTGTCTCTGTATCTCTGTGTGTGTCTCTGTATGTGTCTCTGTATCTCTGTGTGTTTGTATCTCTGTGTATCTGTGTATCTCTGTGTGTCTGTGTCTCTGTGTGTGTCTCTGTATCTCTGTGTGTGTCTCTGTATGTGTCTCTGTATCTCTGTGTGTCTGTATCTCTGTTTGTCTCTGTATCTCTGTGTGTCTGTGTGTCTCTGTATCTCTGTGTGTCTCTGTATCTCTGTGTGTGTCTCTGTATGTATCTCTGTGTCTCTGTGTGTGTCTGTGTCTCTGTGTGTCTGTGTGTATCTCTGTGTGTGTCTCTGTATGTCTCTATCTCTGTTTGTCTGTGTGTCTGTGTGTGTCTCTGCATCTCTGTGTGTGTCTCTGTATCTCTGTGTGTCTGTATGTGTCTCTGTATCTCTGTGTGTGTCTCTGTATGTGTGTCTGTATCTCTGTGTGTGTGTCTGTGTCTCTGTGTGTCTGTGTGTGTCTGTGTGTATCTCTGTGTGTGTCTCTGTATGTGTCTCTGTATCTCTGTGTGTCTGTGTGTGTGTCTGTATCTCTGTGTGTGTGTCTGTATGTGTCTCTGTATCTCTGTGTGTGTCTCTGTATCTCTGTGTGTCTCTCTATGTGTATCTCTGTATCTCTGTGTGTGTGTCTGTATCTCTGTGTGTCTGTGTGTGTGTCTGTATCTCTGTGTGTCTGTGTGTGTGTCTGTATCTCTGTGTGTGTCTCTGTGTGTATCTGTATGTGTCTCTGTATCTCTGTGTGTCTGTGTGTGTGTCTGTATCTCTGTGTGTATCTCTGTATGTGTCTCTGTATCTCTGTGTGTGTTTCTGTATCTCTGTGTGTATCTCTGTATGTGTCTCTGTATCTCTGTGTGTGTCTCTGTATCTCTGTGTGTCTGTGTGTGTCTCTGTATCTCTGTGTGTATCTCTGTATGTGTCTCTGTATCTCTGTGTGTGTCTCTCTATCTCTTGTGTGTGTCTCTGTGTGTGTCTCTGTATGTGTCTCTGTATCTGTCTCTTGCCAGAGTGAACCAGAGGAGATGCCTCCAGAAGCGAAGATGCGGATGAAGAATATTGGACGGTGAGTGTCTCTGTCTGTCTGTCTCTGTGTCTCTGTGTCTATCTCTGTCTGTCTCTCTCTGTCTCTCTGTGTTTCTCTCTCTGTGTCTCTCTGTCTGTGTGTGTTTCTCTGTATGTCTCTGTGTGTGTCTCTCTCTGTCTGTCTCTGTGTCTCTCTCTGTGTCTATCTCTATCTGTCTCTCTCTGTCTCTCTGTGTGTTTCTCTCTCTGTGTCTCTGTGTTTGTGTCTCCCTCTGTTTCTCTCTGTCTGTGTGTCTCTCTCTGCGTCTCTCTGTCTGTGTGTGTTTCTCTGTATGTCTCTGTGTGTGTCTCTCTCTGTCTGCATCTCTGTGTGTCTCTCTGTGTGTGTCTCTCTCTCTGTGTGTGTCTCTGTGTCTGTGTCTCTGTGTCTGTGTGTGTCTCCCTCTCTTTGTTTCTCTCTCTGTTTGTATATCTCTGTCTGTGTCTCTCTCTCTGTGTGTCTCTGTCTGTGTGTCTCTCTCTGTGTGTCTCTGTCTGTGTGTGTCTCTCTGTCTGTGTCTCTCTCTTTGTGTCTCTCTGTCTGTGTGTGTCTCTGTCTGTGTGTCTCTGTCTCTCTGTGTCTCTCTCTTTGTGTCTCTCTGTCCGTGTGTCTCTGTCTGTTTCTCCCTGTCTGTATCTCTCTGTCTGTGTCTCCCTCTATGTTTCTGTCTGTGTGTGTCTCTCTGTGTGTGTCTCTGTCTGTCTCTCTGTGTGTGTGTGTGTCTCTCTGTGTGTGTCTCTGTCTGTGTCTCTCTCTGTGTCTCTGTCTATGTGTGTGTCTCTTTGTGTCTCTCTGTCTGTGTGTGTCTCTCTCTGTCTGTATCTCTCTCTCTCTGTGTGTCCCTGTCTGTGTCTCTCTTTGTGTCTCTCTGTCTGTGTGTCTCTGTCTGTGTGTGTCTCTCTCTGTTTCTCTCTGTCTGTATCTCTCTGTCTGTGTCTCTCTCTTTGTGTCTCTGTCTGTGTGTGTCTCTCTCTGTGTCTCTGTCTGTGTGTGTCTCTCTCTCTGTCTGTGTGCATCTCTGTCTGTATCTCTGTGTGTGTCTCTCTGTGTGTCTCTGTGTCTGTGTGTGTCTCCCTCTCTCTGTTTCTCTCTGTCTGTGTGTCTCTCTCTGTTTCTCTGTCTGTCTGTATCTCTCTCTGTGTGTCTCTGTGTGTGTCTCTGTGTGTGTCTCTCCAAGTTTCTCTGTCTGTCTGTATCTCTCTCTATGTGTGTCTCTCTGTCTGTCTCTCTCTTTGTGTCTCTCTGTCTGTGTGTGTCTCTGTCTATGTGTCTCTGTCTGTCTGTGTCTCTCTCTTTGTGTCTCTCTGTCTGTGTGTCTCTCTCTGTTTATCTCTGTCTGTATCTCTCTGTCTGTGTCTCCCTCTGTGTCTCTGTCTGTGTGTGTCTCTGTGTGTGTCTCTGTGTGTGTCTCTCCAAGTTTCTCTGTCTGTCTGTATCTCTCTCTCTGTGTGTCTCTCTGTCTGTCTCTCTCTTTGTGTCTCTCTGTCTGTGTGTGTCTCTGTCTGTGTGTCTCTGTCTGTCTGTATCTCTCTCTTTGTGTCTCTCTGTCTGTGTGTCTCTCTCTGTTTATCTCTGTCTGTATCTCTCTGTCTGTGTCTCCCTCTGTGTCTCTGTCTGTGTGTGTCTCTGTGTGTGTCTCTGTCTGTGTCTCTCTCTGTGTGTGTCTCTCTCTCTGTGTCTCTGTCTGTGTCTCTCTCTGTGTCTCTGTCTATGTGTGTGTCTCTTTGTGTCTCTCTGTGTGTGTCTCTCTCTCTGTCTGTATCTCTCTCTGTGTCCCTGTCTGTGTCTCTCTTTGTGTCTCTCTGTCTGTGTGTGTCTCTCTGTCTGTGTGTGTCTCTCTCTGTTTCTCTCTGTCTGTATCTCTCTGTCTGTCTGTATCTCTCTCTGTCTGTGTCTCTCTCTTTGTGTCTCTGTCTGTGTGTGTCTCTCTCTGTTTCTCTCTGTCTCTGTTTCTCTGTCTGTGTCTCTCTCTGTGTCTCCCTCTGTTTCTCTGTCTGTCTGTATCTCTCTCTCTGTGTGTGTCTCTCTCTGTGTCTCTCTCTGTGTCTCTCTGTCTCTCTCTCTGTCTCTCTGTGTGTGTCTCTGTGTCTCTGTAGAGAGACCCCCACTTCTGCTGGACCCAACTCGTTCAACAAGGGCAAGCACGGATTCTCGGATCAGCAGAGGCTCTGGGAACGGAAAATCAAGAAACACGGAGGAGGGGGAGGGGGGGCAGGGGGGGGAGGGGGGCCAGGGGGGGGGAGGAGGGGCAGCAGGAGGCGGGGGTGGAGTAACAGGAGGCGGGGCCTCCAGCGACTAGCCACGCCTACCAGGTTGTAGGCCACGCCCAATAGACCCGACCCCCCCCCAAGCAACGGAACCATTAAACTACGCCCACTAATTGCGAGTCCCGCCCACCGTAGTTGCAGGCCACGCCCCCGCGGCCTCTAAGCCACGCCCCCCCCGATTCAAACCAATCTGTTTATTTGGCTGTGAGCGACTGATGGTGGTGATGGTGCTGATGATGGTGCTGATGGTGGTGATGGTGGTGATGGTGGTGATGGTGGTGGTGATGGTGGTGGTGGTGATGGTGGTGGTGATGGTGCTGATGGTGATGATGTTGTTGTTGCTGGTGAGAGACTTCTGAGTAAAAAGAACCAAACTCGTCCTCGTGTCACTGGGTTCGTAATTGCCGTGCCGCTGGGTTAGAGACATCACCACCATCATCATCACCATCATGATCATCATCACCATCACCACCATCACCACCATCATGATCACCATCATCATCACCATCACCACCATCACCATCATCATCACCATCATCACTATCATCACCACCATCATCACTATCACCACCATCATCACCACCATCATCACTATCACCACCATCATCACCACTGTCACCACCATCACCACCATCTCCACAATCATCACTATCACCACCATCGTCACCACAATCATCACTATCACCACCATCATCACCACAATCATTATCACCACCATCATCACCACCATCACCACAATCATCACTATCACCACCATCATCACTATCACCACCATCGTCACCACTATCACCACCATCATCTCCACAATCATCACTATCACCACCATCATCACTATCACCATCACCACCATTTCCACAATCATCACTATCACCACCATCATCACCGCGATCACCACAATCATCATCACCACCATCATCGCTATCACCACCATCATCACTATCACCACCATCGTCACCACTATCACCACCATCATCTCCACAATCATCACTATCACCACCATCATCACCGCCATCACCACCATCATCACTATCACCACCATCATCACTATCACCACCATCACCACCATCACAATCATCACTATCACCACCATCATCACCACAATCATCACTATCACCACCATCATCACTATCACCACCATCATCACTATCACCACCATCATCACCACTATCACCACCATCATCACCACAATCATCACTATCACCACCATCACCACAATCATCACTATCAGCACCATCATCACCACCATCGTCACCATCATCTCCACAATCATCACCACCATCATCACTGCCATCACAATCATCACCATCACCACAATCATCACTATCACCACCATCATCACCATCACCACAATCATCACTATCACCACCATCATCACTATCACCACCATCATCACTATCACCTCCACCACTATCACCATCACCACAATCATCACCACAATCATCACCACCATCACCACCATCACCTCCATCACAACTATCATCACATAATAAAGGTTTTTGTATTCTTTGGTTCTTTCGGTAAAGTCACCACCACGTAGAATGAGAATAAAATACATTGATAAAATAAAATAACAATAAAATTCTCACGACGTTTCGGCCACAACACAAGTGGCCTTCATCAGGTGAAGGGACGAGACTGTCTGGAGGACAGCGCTGGAGTGAAAAAGCCACGCTCAGATCGCGACCTTTAAGCTTTGTGAGAAGAGACAAAGCGCCTTGACAAAGGAATTAGCATAGAATTTAGCATTGAAATAGCTGAGTGATTAGCTTGTAACTGGTCACAGAAATAGCTACGTTAAAGTCAGCATATACATTCACCGAGGCACCTAGTACAAATCAAACGGGAGAATTTTGCATTTCTGTGACCAGTCACAAACTAATCACTCAGCTATTTCAATGCTAAATTATATCCTAATTCCTTTGTCAAGGCACTTTGTTTCTTCTCAGCTTAAAGGTTGTGATCTGAGCGTGGCTTTTTCACTCCAGCGCTGTCCTCCAGACAGTCTCGTCCCTTCACCTGATGAAGGCCGCTTGTGTTGTGGCCGAAACGTCGTGAGAATATTGTGTTATTTTATCAATTTATTATTTTATTCTCATTCTACGTGGTGACTTTACCGAAAGAACCTAAGAAGATGAATCCTTGCAGTCACAAAAGCTTTAAATCGAAAGGTTTTTGTGTTAAATCGCGTTATTTATAAATGTGTCGTAACCCTCCACCACCCGACACGGCCAATCAGCAAAAAAAAGTGTCACGTTGACAAAAGACAAAAATAGTTCACTACTTTAGCCCCTCATCGGTGTGTTGAAGAGTGAATCCACAACATTTACAGTTTGAGTTGTACTGTGACGTTTCGCTGGTTATTACATCCCCAGCATCATCGGGCAATTCGCCAGAATGGTGAAGCCCTCTCCACTTGCTCCCGGTCTTAAATAGAGCAGCAGGTTGACGTCATCGTTTAACTCATATCAGGTGCAGTGATTATATAATAGAATGGTAATCAGTCAATGATTATGATTAATAATGAGTTGTAACGTGTGTTATTGTGAATATATGCTACGTTAGTAATCTGTTAATTAGTATGTGTTTCCCCTATAAGGAATTGTAATGTGTGTTGTTTAATAATACGCTTCCAAGCCGCACTAAGCCTGTAGCTGTCAGAGCGATTAAAGTTATTTTGATTCCTCTCAATTTCAATGGATTCTCTAATTAGTCTTTGCCAGCAATAATTAGTTTTACACAACACGTCAACGTTATCAAAATCAATTGAGTGTCCTTGTTGACAAGCATGTTCTGCCACTGCCGACAGTTGTGACAGCTATAGGCTTAGTGCGGCTTGGAAGCGTATTATTAAATAATACATATTACAATTCCTTATAGGGGAAACATACTAATTAACGGAATACTAACGTAGCATATAATCACTAACACATTACAACTAATTACTAATCTACAACTCATTACTAATCGTAACCATTGACTGATTACCAATCGATTATATAATCACTGCACCTGATATGAGTTAAACGATGACGTCAACCTGCTGCTCTATATAAAACCGGGAGCAAGTGGAGAGGGCTTTAACATTCTGGCGAATTGCCCGATGATGTTGGGGATGTAATAACCAGCGAAACGTCACAGTACAACTCAAACTGTAAATGTTGTGGATTCACTCTTCGATACACCGGTGAAGGGCTAAAGTAGTGAATCACAAACTGTAAATGTTGTGGATTCACTCTTCAACACACCAGTGAGGGGCTAAAGTAGTGAGCTATTTGTCTTTTGTCAACGTGACACTTTTTTGCTGATTGGCCGTGTCGGGTGGTGGAGGGTTACGACACATTTATAAATAACGCGATCTAACACAAAAACCTTTATTATGAATAATATTGGTCGCGAAAGCCTACGTGTTAAAATCACCACCACAATCATCACCTCCATCACCACTATCATCACCACCATGATCACCACTATCATCACCTCCATCACCACCATCATTACCACCATTATCACCTCCATCACCATCATCACCACTATCATCACTATCATCACCTCCATCACCACTATCATCACCACCATCATCACCACTATCATCACCTCCATCACCACTATCATCACCATCATCACCACAATCATCACCTCCATCACCACCATCATCACCACTATCATCACCACCATCGTCACCACAATCATCACCATCATCACCACCATCATCACCATCACCACAATCATCACTATCATCACCACTATCATCACCACCATCACCAATATCATCACCTCCATCATCACCACTATCACCACCATCGTCACCACAATCATGACCATCATGACCACCATCACCACAATCATCACTATCACCACTATCACCACAATCATCACCACTGTCATCACCACAATCATCATCACCACCATCACCACTATCATCACCTCCATCACCACCATCATCACCACCATCACCATAATCATCACAATCATCACCACAATCATCACCACTATCATCACCACCATCATCGCTATCATCACCTCCATCATCACTATCATCATCACTATCATCACCTCCATCACCACTATCATCAAAATTATCATCACCTCCATTACCACCATCATCACCACAATCATCACCTCCATCATCACCATCACCTCCATCATCACCTCCATCACCACTATCATCACCACTATTATCACCATCAACACAATCACCATCACCAGTATCATCACCACAATCATCACCACTTTTATCACCTCCATCACCACTATCATCACCACTATCATCACCACAATCATCACCACCATCACCACAATCATCACCAAAATCATCACAATCATCACCACTATCATCACCACTATCATCACCACTATCATCACCATCTCCACTATCATTACCACAATCATCACTATCATCACCTCCCTCACCACTATCATCACCACAATCATCCCCACCATGATCACCATCACCACTATCATCACCACAATTATCACCACTTTCATCACCACAATCATCACCACTATCATCACCACCATCATCACTATCATTATCACTATCACCACCACCATCATCACCACTATCATCATCACCATCATCACCACCATCATCACTATCATCACCACCATCATCACCACTATCAGCACCACCATCACCACTATCATCACCACAATCATCACAATCACCACCATCACCACCATCATCACCACTATCACCACTATCACCACCATACCACAATCATCACTATCATCACAATCGACACTTTCACCACCACTATCACCATCATCACTATCACCACCATCATTACCACTCATCACCATAATCACTATCACCACCATCATCACTATCATCACCACTCATCACCACCATCATCACTATCATCACCACTCATCACTACCATCATCACCACTATCACCACCATCATAACTATCACCACCATCATCACCACCATCATCACCACTATCATCACCACCATCATCACCACCATCATCACCACTATCACCACCATCATCACTATCACCACCATCATCACCACTCATCACCACTATCATTACCTCAATCATCATCACCATCATCACCACCATCATCACCACCACCATCATCACCATCATCACCACCATCATCACTATCATCACCTCCATCATCACCTCCATCATCACTATCATCACCACTATCATCACCATCATCACCACTATCATCACCATCATCACCACTATCATCACCACCATCATCACCACTATCATCACCACTATCACCACTCTCACCACGATCATCATGACCATCACAACAATCATCACCATCACTACTATCATCACCACCATCATCACTATCATCACCACTATCATCACCACCATCATCACCACTATCATCACCACCATCATCACCACAATCATCACCAT